GTCCCCCGATCCGGAGGGGTGGAGCGGTTTTCTGCCGGGCGACGTCCCAGGATCCCCGGACCGGCCAGGAGAGGGGTACCGAGTCGATTGCCCTGAACCGCCCCCAACACCCCCGCCCCCGCGTGCGAGCACGACGGCTCGCCGCGCACGGCCGCGCCGGCGCCACGACGCTCCGGTGGCCGAACCGCAGGATCAGGGGGAGGAAGGCGATCCCAAACCCTAGCAAAGTGACAAGGGAAGGGAATGATGTACCCGATGTCGATCACCTCCTCGATGCGCAGGGAACGGGCGTCCACCGTGCAGCCACGGTCGTTGATAAGAACCAACCGAAGCGCATCCTGACGCAGAAGGAGCTCGCCGACGGCGTAGTTACCACATTCGGCTCCGCCACGAGTTTTTTAGCGCCGCGGTGCGGCCTGCGTACGTACGCCAGCTAGGCTGCGTGCATGGTTTCGGCCGGCCGGCCGGCCGCGTGCTTTGTAAGTTGCAACCTCGTGCACCAGTGCCTGCCTTGGTCAACTGCCGATCGACGCATGCTTCGCTCCATGCATGCCGTCCGTGTAGCTCCAAGCCTCCAACTCCAATCCAAACCAAACCAAACCAAACCAAACCAAAGGCGAATAGGCGATCGTTCTGTAGTTACATTGTTACGTCAGGAGCACGCGGCGCCGGCACGACTTTACCTGCATGCGCACGCCATCGGCCGGCCGGGCGCTATTGTCCTGTCACGTTGTCACGCATGCCGTAGCGCGCGGTGGCATGCCTACGCCGGCGCGGCCGTTTCGCGCACGGGATGGAGACGTGCGCTGGCCGCACGCCGCAACCGACGGAGGGTCTGAAACTCGCTCACAGCTGCAGCCAGCGGGGGGACATTGCCTGCCAGCCAGAGACTAGCCCGCTGCTGACTGCTGACCGCTCGCTCACCGGTCGCTGCATTCGGTGTCCAAGCCCCGAAGCCACGCTTTCTTCTACTTCTGCCACTACGGCTATACCAGCAGTCCAGCGCGCCGTCGACTTCCATCCACCCGTGGGCTGCCGGCCGGGCCCCATGCATGCCTAGGCACGTGTAGACGAAGACGAGGCGTTGGACGAACCAAATTGAACTGACTGACTCGCTCACTTTGGCTCCACTCACACGTAGTACTAGTACGTTTCCTGCTCCACACGGCAACGCTAGCTTGTCCCGCTAGCTGATCCATGACTGGTGAGCCATAGTGCACCTCTAGCACGATTTTTAGGTTCCTCATCACTAATATGTGTGCTGTAAATTAGTCTTCCGGTCAATCGCTTTTGTCTTTACTACTCTCTCCATTCCGAATTAATCCAGGCAACCTCTATACAATGCAAATGTAAAATGGACATCGTACAGAGGTTGCACCAACTAATCCGGATCAAAGGCACACGTTTGTGACATCATTCACCTCATTTAGCAGCTTTTTACACTTAACTTGTGTCATAAATTATCCTATTTAATTTTTTTTCTTGTTCTTAGGTGTTTTTTCGTCTTTTTATTGTATAGGCAATTTTTTTTTTCATTTTTGAATTTTCTCTTGATTTACTTGCACCAAACCAACCGCACCAACCACCTCGTCACTTAACAATCCCATGGCATACCGACCTCCCCTCCCCCCGGGTCCTCCATGCGGTCGTTAATCCCTCCCGCCATCTACCACAGGGTTAAGCTTCACTAGGATCTCGTCGTATCCAGCTCGATGTCGGATCTCCTCCCTGGAGCCTCATTCTCGGCGGTTATCCACACCTCAGCTTCCATCGACCCTCTCCATGTACATCACCACATCGACAACCACCTCCGGTCACCCCCCGCCCCCGCTTCCTCCTACCCCTGCCCTCTCCATCGACACACGCCCATCGCTCCGCTGACTCCCATTGGATGGAGACCTCGATGTAGGCCTGCATTTGGTACTTGCTTTGGGAGAAATCCCCTATGACTCGTGCGTTAGATGACCACGCCGACACCAATCGGATGCCGCCCACTTTCTTGGGGGTGTGGTCCTTTTGACCTGTACCTGACCCGCTCGATATGGGCCTCTGGCCGAAAGTCCATTGACGACGTCGTCCACAGACGTCGTTTACCTTCTTGAAGACGTCATCCGAGCCCTTTGCTATCATCCATCCACCTTTTCCATTGTGTATTGCGCTGTCCGTGCTGATGCTTGCTCAAGACGGCGAGCTTCATGCTCTTGGTGTTGTCTCGGTTCATCTTTGCTAAATGATGGCGCAAAATGCTTCCTAACTTGCTAATCGTTTCGATTTCCCGCGGCGGAGCTCTCAGTCAAGGTTTGTGTTCATCTCCTCTCTCTGGACTTGCATTGCTCCAATTCTTCTTGAGCATGTGGTCATGCTATGCTGCTCGTTGATTGGTGGATGCTTTTGTGTTGCACCCCAGGGTTCGAATACGCACGCGTGCTATTGTCTATTTGCAAAGTCTTTGTTATTGTGATCCTTGGACGACATCCCACGTCTACTCACGTCTCTCGTGATGTCCCTTGTATCTACTAGCTAGGCCATGCTTTGTCATGGGCGCCTATTATTTTTTCTCTTCTTCTATTACCCTTGTTATTGCTTTTTCGGTCTTTGGACCGGCTTTCCACATAAATGCAGTCGACTTGTTCAGATTTTCAATCCGGTTTCCCTTTATATAAATGGATAGTTTTTCTTTGACCTAGATCAAATTCAGGTGGGGAATCCCTCCTCGGTGTCTGTTAAAAAAAAATCTTTTTCACTAAAAAGAGATACTGGACATGGGCGAGGGACTAGGCCTACATGCAGCCGTGGTCCACCTCTACGGGTCTTCTCCTCCTTCGCAAGTCCTGAATTAGTCCACCTTGACGCGCCAAACTAATCAATCCTCGTCCATCAAAGCCACCGCTTTCCGCAGCAATAGCGAAGCGAGCGCGTCGTCCCGCTCCGCTCCTCTCCGCGGCTGCCGCCTCGCCACGCCACCTCCATGAGGAGCAGCAGCAGCAGCAACAGCGCCGGCTCGGCGCCCAGGAGGAGGCCGATGAGCGACCTCATCGGCGCCAGCGACGACCTCTCCCGCTACTCCGTCGCCACCACCACGGTCTCGTCCGACCGTTCGTCCGGCAGCGGGCGCGGCGCCGCCGCCTTCCTCGACGCCTTCCGCTCCTGCTTCGCCCCCTCGGACGCGCGCTCGCCGGAGACCTCCCTCTCCGACGTGGACTTCGACGCCTCCCACCAGCGTACGTCGTTCGCGCACGCCTTCCCTGAACTTTTTCTCCAGTGGCTCCTGTGTGTGCCCTTCTGATCCAAAACGCCACTTTTCATCATCTTCTAATCTCGTTGTGTGATAGTAGTATATTGTTCGTCAACCATTCCTGGTCAACGCGTCCTTCAGCTTTGTACTCAATTGAACTGCGACTTCTAGGATCTTTGCAGAGCACTGTTTTGTGTACTAACGCTAGGAAAGAGTCCCCCTCGTACAGTCGCATGTACGGCAATACGAATAAAATATGCATTCTCCTCTTGAGCCTTAGTTTAATCAGAGGTGTGTGACACTCTCTCCATCAGTTTGTACTTTTCTAATACTACGAATTACATGCACTCCCTCCTATTTATATTAATTCTCGCTGATTTAGCACAGTACTAAATCAGCGACCATAACCCATCTTGGCCAAAATGTTCTTATCGTTTGCTAATCCCTTCTCTGATTTTCGCAAAGTAAGAAAACACCATCGAAAAGTATCATTTGCTAACAAGGCCTCACGTCACTGATGACAGCCTCTTGAGTGACACTTGAATTCGTTATGGTATATCCTGGAATGGAATGGATACTGTTCAATTCATCAGACTATGCAAATAACACTTTGCTTACAAGAATCATCGGTTAGGTTCTCTGTAAACTTCAGATGTGACGGTTCTTTCTTATGAATCTACAGACTCGCAGTCGCTGAGCTCTCAAGGTTCTACCAGCGGGAGCACTTTCGAGAGCAGGAGATCAGCTAGGGGGCTGTATGGCTCCACCCTCAGGAACTCTTCAGAAAGGGAGGTACCCGGCGATAGGAAGTTAACCTTGCCAGAGATCCAGAAAGCAACAAAGAACTTCTCGCCCAACCTTAAGATTGGGCAGGGTGGTTCTGGGACAGTGTACAAGGGTCAGCTCAGCGATGGCACCCTCGTCGGCGTCAAACGGGCCAAGAAGGTTTGCAAGGGCTTACTTCTTATGATCGGTTCTCATAGCTTGGTGACTGTTACATAACATGGCACAGTTTGTTTCCTTTTCTTTCCAGAATATGTATGACAAGCATATGGGCCACGAGTTCCGGAACGAGATAGAGATGCTGCGATGCATCGAGCACCTGAATCTGGTTAGGTTCCATGGGTTCCTTGAGTTTGGTGGTGAGCAGTTGATCATTGTGGAGTATGTTCCCAATGGCAATCTTCGGGAGCACCTTGAAGGTAACAATCGTAGGATCCTGCCCGTTGCTCCTATGTGTATGATGCCATGGTTTTTGCTAATTCCATCTTACCGAGTTTAGACGTATGCAGGTCTGAACGGAAAAGTCCTGGAGTTCTCCGTGAGGTTGGAAATCGCGATCGATGTGGCCCACGCTATTACGTATCTTCACACCTACTCTGGTAATGCAGAGTAATTATTAATGTTTCCTTGCATTTTGGTTTCAACTTTGTCAAGTTGTTTGGACGATTTTTGTTCTTATTTTGGTTGTTTTCTTCTTGAATCTGAAAGGTTCGGCAAATATGTTGGCACACCGGGTGGCCAATATTTATTTGTGCTCGGAAAAAAAGCCCGGAAAAGAAATTAAAGAAAGATCATTAAGAATTTAATTCAGCAGTTCCTTGTTTTAGCTCAGATACGTTGATACTGCAGAATCCTTCAGGGAAAAACAGAGTACTACTGTATCTGTTGGCTGCTTTTGCTTAGCTTCAGATAGAAGATAAGCTGAAATGGTGAAACCCATGTTGAATATTTCTGGAACTAACAACCAAGCCTAGGATAATTCCTAGTATCAATAGGAAATAAGCCTATATGTAAACTGGGATCCGACTCTCGAAACCAAATTTAGACTAGAACTGTAATTGGTGATGGAAGAGGACCATAGTTTTTATGTCAAATATCTCAGTTCAAACAGGGGAAAATATGATTCGTTGCAGTATTAAGACCTGACCATATATTTCTCCCATGCAGATCAGCCGGTCATCCACAGGGACATCAAATCCTCAAACATTCTTCTCACAAACAACTGCCGAGCTAAGGTTGCTGACTTTGGATTTGCGAAACTGGCTCCAACTGACGCTACACATGTCTCTACTCAAGTCAAAGGAACAGCTGGGTACCTTGATCCAGAGTATCTAAGAACATACCAGCTCACTGAGAAGAGTGATGTCTACTCCTTTGGAGTGTTGCTAGTGGAGTTGGTTACTGGGAGGCGCCCGATCGAACCTAAGAGGGCGATCGTCGAACGTGTCACAGCAAAATGGGTTAGTTTGTGCCATTCTTATATTATCTTTCTACCTTTAATGGTTTTCAATATCAAATGAAATACTCCCTCCGATCTAGCTTTAATGGTTACTAAAGCTGCGTCAATTAATTTGGATCGGAGGGAGTATGTAAAATAATTCATAAAGATCGACAACTGATCCATATATCTGGTTTTGCTAATTAAGTTTGCTCCATTTATGGTCGGCACAGGCAATGGAAAAATTCTCAAAGGGCGATGCGATATTAACACTGGATCCAAATCTAGAAGTGAACGACGCGACCAACCTGGCAATTGAGAAGATGTACGAGCTGGCCCTGCAATGCCTAGCTCCCAAGAAGAGGAGCCGGCCGAGCATGAGGCGATGCGCAGAGATCCTGTGGAGTATACGTAAAGATTACAGGGAGTTGGCTCAACCAACCTCCTCTTGAACCAAGGCAGCTCCTGTGGAGCAATCAAGAAAGCAAAATGCAACAACATGCCAGTTTGCCTCACTTCAATTAAAAGCATGGAGGTATGGATGAACCGATCGCTGAGCTACGGTCTGCGAAGCTGTGAATGGGACCTGTGGCCTTCCTAGAAATTGTGTGCTTATTAGGTATCAGCTAGGAAGAGTTACATTGAAGTTTCTCCTACACAGCAGTACACGTAGAATAGTCGCCATAGCAAGCACAAGCAATTTCAAACATGACTTGAATATACGATGGTGTCTGTATGTTATAGAAGAAGGATGATTTCTGAGGAGAGCATGCATTTCCCATGTATTTGATGCGTTCTCCTGTATATGATGAACAAAATTCAACAGCAGTGGTATATCTTACTTTTTGGGTGCTTGTGTGCGTCATTGTCAATGTTTGACATAGTATAGAAAATTACAGATGAAGAAAACTACAGAGCTGCAAGGAAAATACCGCGGAAGAAATTACAGATGTATATTCGTATTCAAATCTGTTTGTGTTCGCTCATGTGTGTGATGGTGCATCTTGCTCCACTAGATAAAATAGCAAAACCCCATGTCTCCATCTCTCTGCCTTCTCTGAGCTACTTGACATGGCTTCCTTTCGACTCGAGGAAACGGTACAACCTTTGCCGACGTCGTTGACTCCATGCAGGGTTGGATGCTTGAGATGGGGAACTTTCTAGAGCGAGCTGAGTTTGTTCTGAGCGGGCTCTCTCATGTGTCACCTGTGTTGCAAACCGCTCCTACACCGCGCCCCATGGTTGTGCCTGATGTCAACCTTGAGTGGAGATGGGCTTCATGGACGTTTCTCTCCTCGTGCTGGGGTCAGATCGTCGTTATCTGCCTCTGAGGGTTCGTGCATCAATGTGGTTGTGGCTCCGATGCTACAGATGATGCCCGAGCTTCTGGAGCTGTGTGGGGAATCCACTCTGCATCTGTCCGTCGAGCAACTGAAGGTGGACCCCCTTGAGATCTCAGTTGTGGCATTACCGCCATTACCACCCCTTGAGCCCAGCCAGATGCTCGACTTCGAGGAGAAGGGAGATTCAGAGTTGCAATGTCTTGCTCATCCGAGTCCATTGGGCACATGGTTCCTGCAGGTGATGTGGTTGTCGCACCCAGAGCGATGGCTCGTGTGCCTGGGCTTCTCGTAGCGAAAGAGATTTGTGATTCCCTCGCTACCTTGGACGTTGCTAACCCTGGATCCAGCAAGGCAATTGGGTGTCTCCTCAAGGAGAAGGCCAACAGGGATAAGAAAAGTGGTGGTGCTAGCTCTCGTCCTGTCGTCTTGAAGGAGAAATCAAACAAGTGCAGAAGTAAGAAGAGTGGCGCTATAGGAAAGGCGTTGACAGCTGCTTGATGGATAGCTCTCAGTGTTTGGACATGTCATCACGGGTGTGCTTAGGTCCGTGGCCTTTGCCGATGTTGGTTCCTCTAGTTACCTTCGATATGTGGGGGCTCACTTGTGAAGTTGAATTTCATGTGCAAGCGGATTGTAGGGGTATCGTGATGGGAGAGTTTGTCTATCTTTCTTTGGTCTTGTGGTCTTATGATTTGGGAGTAGTCCGCTTGTATCATGGGGTTGTGGCTTGGTTGTTTTTCGAGGCCAAGCATGTAACGGTTTTCGTCCGGTTTTCCGTAAATTAACCGGGCAACTATCTTCTTACTTAATGAATGAGATAAAGCTTTTGCCTTCGATTAAAAAATGTCTCCATCTCTCTGCCTTCTCTGGTGTTATATAGGTCGCACATTCTTTGGTGTCGTAAACTTTCTTCTTAATGAATATACATGCATGCGGGTCTCGAAATAGAGCAACAAAGAGCCCATGTCACATTCTCTCTGCTGCTTTGTCTCTCTTATGCTGAAGTCCCAAATCCTGACATCTAAGATCACTGCCCCTCACCGCTCCACCACTTGTCTGTGACTTGGTTCGGCGCTCATTCCGAGAGGTGCTTTTTTGGCTGTTGGGTCTACTTCAACACACATCACAACATCTATTTGCTATAATACTCACGCTTGCCTATGACAGTTCAACTCAACTGAGGTTGGCCACTATAGTCCATCATGTTCCATAGGATTTTTTT